TCCAAGTGGCTGCACTGGCCAGAGCTGGTCCGATCTGAAGCCAGGAACCAGGAGCTTCTTTGAATCGCACGATTTTGGGCCATCCTCCTTTCCCAGGCCACAGCCAGGAAGCTGGATGGGAAGCAGAGCAGCCAGGACATGAATCAGTGCCCATGCGGAATCCCAGGCATGCAAGATGAGGGTTTAGCCACTGAGCCATCGCACTAGGCCCGGTCATCATTTCTTGTAGGTAAATAAGTAAATAAAAGGGCTGAGTGCATAGTAGCCCAGTGGCTGATGTCCTTGCCTTGTACGTGCCAGGATCCCATATGGGTGTAGGTTCATGTTCTGGCTGTTCCACTTCCAACCCATCTCCCTGCTTGTGGCCGTGTACCCACTGGGAGACTTGAAAGAAGCTCCTGGCTCCTGGCTTCAGACTGGCTCAGTTCTGGCCATTGCGGCCATTTGGGGAGTGAAGCAATGGATGGAAGATATTTTTCTCTGTCTCTCCTTCTCTCTGTAAATCTGACTTTCCCATAGGTAAACAAACAAATCTTTTTTTTAAAAAAGTAAATAAAGGTTTCTGTTGTTGCTGTTTGCAAAATGTACAAATGAGAAGGTTACATTTTCACTCATCTTCATGCCTACCTCTTGGCTCAGCTCATTTGTTTCCATTGCCTCCTGGGGGGACCCTGACCTTGACAGCCCCTTGCACCCGGGCTGTAGGGACGGCCAACGGGGCCCTGGGATGAAACACCTGCGCGTTGGGCCCGGCCCATCTGTGTTACACGCCTCCAGCATTTCCATCTGCCCAACAGAGGCTGGCTCCTCACACACTTCTTTGTCCCTGGAAAAAAGTATTTCCAAAGTCACGAGACAGTTGCATTCAAAGAGCAGTTTATTTTGGAGCCCTCTCCACCCCCCAAAAAGAAATCCATGCATTTTTTTTTTCCTTTTAAAAATCTTTTTCATGATGACAATTTTTGTGAACTCAGAGCCCAAGTCTGCACTTGCTTCTGCAAGGCCAGGGTGCAGCCACGGGGGGCGCCCTCGAGCTCTCCGGTGGGCTCCTTTAGGACGATCTCCAGCAACACAGGCAGCAGGTTCAAGTCCCCCCATGAGCCCCAGGGGCACGACTCCACCTTCTAAGGCTCAGCTGCCTCGCTGTAGCGTGGCATCAGTCCGTGACACAGACCGTGTCATCGTGCAGTGGGAAACGAGCAGCGGGGCCCTGAGATGGTCCCCAGCAGGCTGGTGGCGCCCGCTTTCTGTTACTGCTGTGCTGTGGTTCTTTCACTTAAGACTGACTGATTTCCTTATTTCCTTCCTTCATTTCTCTTGTCTAAAAAAAAAATTTATTGTTGGGTGGCGGAGGGGGGGGAAGTATACAGAGAGAAGGAAAGACAGATCTTCCATCTGCTGGTTCACTTCCCAAACACCGCGGTACCTGGAACTGAGCTGATCTGAAGCCAGGAGCCAGGAGCTTCCTCCAGGTCTCCCACATGGCTGCAGGGTCTCAAGGCTTTGGGCCATCCTCTGCTGCTTTCCCAGGCCACAAGCAGGGAGCTAGATGGGAAGTGGAGCTGCTGGGACACGAACCAGCGTCCGTATGGGATCCTGGCACTTGAACGTGCAGGATTAGCCTGTTGAGGTACCATGTAGCCCCCCAGATGAAAGCCATTTCTAAATGCTCTTTGAAAAGCATTTAAGTTTCCAGTGTATTGCAGTGGGGGAGGATTTTTGCTGTGTATCTTGGAAGCTGCCATCAACATGTCCCTAACATTTTTTACCAAGCCCGCGTTCAGCACCAAAGTCCCCAGTCGGAGGCTCCTGGTGCTGGCAATGAGTGAGGCCTGTGCGAGGCCGGCTGCAGCGCAGGGGTGCCAGCCAGCCAGGTCCCCGCCGCCCCCTGCATACATTAGTCCTAATGTATTCTCCCTTGAATACTCATCATGTGAAGACTCTCGGTAGTTACCTCGCTGGAAATAAATTTTATGGGTGCACATCGTGGGTCTGAACTGCGCTGGTTGTGCTGCTGGGTGGAGAAATACAGCAGTCTGCAAGGAGGAAGGCTCAAAGGCTCCTCGCGGGCAGAAAGCTGCCCTGTCTGCCCTGGGGTGCCAGCCTCCCTCATGACCGGCCTGCAGAGAGGCATCCGAGGCCGCCTTCTGCGCGCTCTCCCGCAGGCCTGGCCTCTTGCCGCACCCTTCGTCCTGTGCCCTGTGCGGTCTCCACCTCCGCCCTGGCTCTGCACCTGCCACTCCTGGCCCTCTTCTCTCGCAGAGCCTAGCCAGGGGTCCCCGGCGGCTGCTGGGAGCGCTTGGGGGCGGGGAGCAGCAGGTGCACCTCCCACCCCCTGCAGCAGCCGTGCACCCCTGGGCTGGCTGCTGACCCTGGAGGCTTGAAGAGGCAGTCGGGCCTCCAGTGCGTTTACAGCGGCAGCAGCCACGCTCTCGCCCTTGAAGCGGGGCTGAGGTGGTGGAGGATGGTTCCAGGTGGAGGTGAAGTTTGGCTGTTGAGCCCGTGGCCTTACCCTCTTTTCCCTTGCCCACTCTGGCTCCGTGCCCATCGTGTGCTTGGCACTTTGCTGTCCTCTTTCAGAGCTCTTTAATAAGTGTTTGTGAGAACAGTTTCTTTCTCAAGGAGAAATTTTTATTCTTTTTAAGATTTATTTTTTATGAAAGGCAGAATTGCACAGAGATCTTCTAACAGCTGGCTCATTCTCCAAATGGTCACAGTTGTTGGACTGGCTCAGACCAAAGCCAGGAGCCAGGAGCTTCCTCTGGGTCTCCCACATGAGTGCCATTTCCCTAAGATTAGTGGATCAGAAGAGGAGCAGCCAGGGCTCAAGCCAGTGCTCGCATGGAGTGCCAGCCCTGCTTAACTCCATATGCCACAACACTGGCCCCAGAAAACCTTTGGACTAAAATTCTGGGCCCAGTGCTGTGGTATCGGGGACAAAGCCACTTCCGGTGATAGCCACATTCCATATGGGTGCCAGTTCGAGTCCCAGCTTTTCTATTTCTGATCCAGCTCTCTGTTAATGTGCCTGGGAATGCAACACAAGATGGCCCAGGCGCTGGGGCCCTGGATCCTTGTGGGAGACTTGGAGGCAGCTCCTGGCCTCTAGCTTGGGCTTAGCTCAGCCCTGTCCATTGTGGCCATCTGGGGAGTGAACCAGTAGCTGGAGGGTCTCATGTTGTTGCTCTCTGCAACTCTCCAGGAACTGACACCTCAGTGTGGTTGCTGGCAGCCTGTGTGGCGCTGTAAACCCTGGGGCACGGGAGGGAGAGGCGCCCAAAGGCGAGGCAGTGGCCGGAGAACCCTGGGCCTGACTTCCAGTTGCGTGCTGCAAGCTGCCCACTTGGGCTTGGAGTGTGCGTAAGCCTGGGCACACCCACGCGGGCGGGGACAGTAACGGCACTTACCAAATGGTCCAGCAGGTGATGGTGTCTTCATTCTTGAGAACGCTTTTGCTCTCTGTCACTTTGCATGTGTTCAAATTCTCTCCCCATGCTTTGAGGCTGCAAAGGTGAGAGGATCAGCACCATGAAGCAGCAGGTGAAGTGGCTGCCTGCAACGCCAGTAACCCACGTGGGCACCAGTTCGAATCCTGGCTGCTCCACTTCCCATCCAGCTTCCTGCTAATGCACCTGGGCAAGCAACACCCATGTGGGAGACCAGAAGGAGCTCCTGGCTCCTGGCTTCTGACTGGTCCAGCGCTGGCCGTTGAAGGCAGATGGGGGAGTGAACCAATAGATGTAAGATCTTTCTGTCTCCCTCTGTTTATCATTCTGACTTTCAAGTAAATAAGTGAATCTTCTTTTTAATTTTTTTTTTTTTAAACTGCTCCTGCCTCTGAAGGAATTGCCTTGGCATGGGAGTGGCCGTGTGGAGACAGCGTGGAGACTGTCAAGGGTGCGAGGCCCGGGGCTGCCAGCCTCATGATGGCCGTGTTGGGAAGACATGCCCTGCAGCCACACCCTGCGCTTCTGTCTTCTCCTCAATGTTTGTTGGTCTGTTACCTTCCCCCGGGTGGGGAAGGAAGAGAGCAAATGGCGGGAGGGGCCAGCACTGTTTGTTCTTCTGAGCATGGATACATGGCTCTTTTGCTAGGTTGTGAAACATGCAGAGACTCAAAATGTCATTAACTCCCCTGAGTGACTTGGGGTGGCCCCTGGGTAGAGTGGCCCAGCAGCAGAGTCTCAACAGACGTCATTGAGGGCATAACTGGGTAGGGCAGTGGTTGAGGCTTGGATGTGACAACAGCATATACTTATACTGTCGAAGTGGAAATCATGGCTTTCAGCTTTCAGTGGGGCCAGCATTGGGTGGCAGGGGCAGGGGAGGGGAGCTCCAGGACTGAGTCCAGCCCTTAGGATGCCACAACTTCTGCCCTGGCCCCCAGCAGCACCAGGGGAGCCTTTGCAGTGTCCACATTGAATTCATTTCCCTCCTCCAGGCACCTGCTGGGAAGCTGAGCTGCAAGAGAGTCTGGACAAGTTGAGCACTTTCCTCACAGTGCAGGCAGCAGGGGCTGTGGACTCTGCCTGGTGTGTCCGTTCACAGCGGGATGCCTTCCTTGAGCCTCTCAGGGGTACCCCTCTACCCTTATATTATTTGTGCTACTGGCCAGAGGGGCTCTTGCTCCAAGCCCGGGCAGGCCTTCTTCTGAAGTCTTAGGTTTTTGCTTCTCCATCACTAGTGGACACATGGTGGAAAGAGTGATGGATGCCTTGGGGCACTGCAGCTGGCATGGGTGGAGGGTGGCCTTGTATGGTGTCCTTAGAGTCAGGTGAGCCCTTCTGGATCATCCCTAGCCAGAAGATACAGCCTGGCCAGCAAAGTAGGGGTTGAATTTAAGTCCCTGCCTGCATTGACACAGTGTACAACTTGCACAGCTATATGGGTTACACCCATTCCCACCATGAGCAGACCGGAAAAGCATCCACACAGTGCCTGGGCACTGGGAGCAGGGCTGGACTGAAGGCTCATGCTGCTTCTCTCTCCTCTTCCCACAGAGATCCCCCAGTGTGCTGGCTGCAACCAGCATATCTTGGACAAGTTCATCCTCAAGGTCCTGGACAGACACTGGCACAGCTCCTGCCTCAAGTGCGCAGACTGCCAGATGCAGCTGGCCGACAGGTGCTTCTCCAGGGCCGGGAGTGTCTACTGCAAGGAGGACTTCTTCAAGTGAGTGGCGGCTGGGGCCTGGCTCGGTTCTGCTGCTTCCATGTTGGGAGGCGGGCTGGGGAGGCTGGGGAAGGAGCTGGGGTCCGGTGGGGAGAGGCGCTCCGCTCCAACGCCCTGCTTCTGACACTGGTCCCATCTTGGCCTCGTCTTAGCTGTGCGTGCTGTGAGGGTGGGGGTCCAGGAGGTCATAGGTCAGACCTCCCCTGTGTGGCCGACAAAAGCTGACAGGTCTAAAAGCAGGGTGAATTGGCCCCTTGATTCTTGGCTGCAACCTCCTGCAGACTCTCAGAGCAGGTGCGTTCTTACATTTATTTATTTGAAAGGCATGCGTGTGTGCACACACACACACGCATGCATGCACACACACAGATCTCCCTTCTACTGATTCACTTCCCAAACAGCTGCATCAGCCAAAGCTGGGAGCTGGGAACCCAACATCAGAGTCACACAACTCCTCGAACCCCACTCCCCTCCCCCCACCTCATGCCACTGACGATGCACATTAGCAGGGAGCCGAGCAGGGACTCAAGCCCAGGCCCTCCAACATGGAGCCTGGATGGCCTAAGCAGTCCTCTTCCTGCTGCCCCCAGGGCCTGTTCTTCTGCAGGGGCTGCTTGGTCCCTGCCTCATACCCGGAGGCATCTTGCTGGCTGCTTTACAGGCTGCAGAGGCTGGCGAGACCAAGCCAGACACGGTCAAGTGTCGTGACTTTTGATGGCGAGGCAGTTTCTTATGATGGGTCACACCTTGCCAAAAGAGCTGGCATTTGGCACAGTGGGTAAGCAATTGCCTGTGGACCCAGAGTCGCTGGGTCCAGCTCGCTGCTACTGCACCGGGTAGGCCATAGAAGAAAGCCCAGTGACTTGGGTCCCTGCTAGCCACAGGGAAGGCTCAGAGCATGTTCAGGTTTCTGGTTTTAGCCTGGCCCGGTCCCAGCCATTGCAGCCAGCTGGGGAGTGAGCCTGTGGATGGGCAATCTCATCCTCTCTCTCTCGCTTCTCTCTGCCTTTCACAAAAATAATAGTAAATAATAATACAAAGACTTTGCCTGGGTTTGAACCAGCTTATTTCCTGTGTGCTTTTGGGAAGGCTATGTCATTTCCCTGAACTGTGGCTACCATGCATTTCCTGTCTCACCAGGCTGTGAGCGTCCGTGCTGAGTGCTGGCCGAGCTTGGGGTTGGCTCCGTCAGCATGGCGCAGCTGGAACTGTCTGGCAGGGATGACCTGGGGTCGATCTTGCACAGCAGCTGGTCTGAGACCCCTCTGCCAGGCTCTGTTGTCCAGGTCGTTGGTCAGTGATGCTGAGCCCGTGTTGGGGGGTACCCACAGGCCTGCTGGGAAGTTGTACAAAGCTGGTCAGGACCTAAGAGGTGGGGGCGTGGCTGAGGGAGCCAGGGGAGGAAGGAGAGCAAGGTGAGCTCAGATGCGCACTGCAGAGAAGGCTCCCATGCGCCTATGAGGGGTCTGTGCATTCAGTACAGTGTGGTTTGAGCTGAAGACTCATGAGCGGTCCCGGTTACCCCTCAGCTTGTTCACCTGCTCCTTGCCAAGGTTGCACTTTGGTCAAGTACAGCCCCTTCCTTGTGTGTATGTGTCCATGTGTCCTGGGGCTAGCACAGCACACTCAGCAAGCCCCAATGTGCACATGGGTGGTGGACTTGGCTCTTGGGGCTTTGGTGTGCTGCCCCCTTCCTCCTGCTCGTCCTTCAGTGTTCTCCGCCGTCTTCTCATCTCTTTCTGATTTTCGGCTGTCTGTCCTTCCACATGCATCCCTTGGCAAGGCCATCCCTTGGGTGGCCTTTGGCTTGAGGGCAACTTCTTCTGTCCTTGTCCCTTTGGTCAGCTGCAACACTGAGCTCCAGGGGCATGGACAGGGCAGGTCAGGCCTCGGGGCCCACAGGGTTACTGGCCAGTCCACTCAGCAGGTTAGGGCAGCCCATGGGGTGAGGGCCAAGCCCAAGTGGGCCAAGGTTTCATTGACAGAGAGCCCCCCTTGAGTCCCTCAGTGTTGTTTTGAGGGCCCTGTCTGGTTTGTGGGCCCTGACTGACAGGCTCTGGGCTTGGGAGAGAGAAGGGAGGTAGGAGTCAGGGGCAGCATTGGGGTCTCCCTGAGCCCAGGAGAGGTCCAAAGCAGGAGTGGGGTGGAAGCCATGGTCCAAGGATAGGGAGTCCAGCTCCCCACCCAGGCCAGGGCTTCCTGTACCATGCCCTGCAGGAGGGTCCTTCCTGGGGCCTGCTCGGTGCTGCCCTCCCCACTGCCTGCTTCTTCTCTCTGCAGCCCATTCACCTTCCTGTTAAGCAAACCATTCTGTCTCATGGATTGATGTTTCACAGGGCCTCTCCACCTGCAGAATGTTCCAGAAACATTAGTGCCCCCCAGATCTGCCTGTTCTGTGCCCCGCCCACTCCCAGAATGTCCCCATGTGCTGGTGTGCTCTGCACACTGGCCCTGGTTAGCTCACCCTCCGGGGACACTGGCTGCCCTCCCTGCCTTCCCCACCAAGGGTTGCACCTCCTCCACATCCCGCCACAGCTGCCCAGAGTTCAGCTCAGCAGGACTTGGAGCCCCCAGGGAGGCGTTGCCCACCCCCACCTCCCTCTGCCGTCTCTCTTCGAGTGACTCAGCACGCGCTGCTTTGCTCATTTCTCCTGCACCTGTTTGCGCTCCTTGCTGGCTTGAGGAACAGGCCTGTGTGTTCGTCATTGCTCTGTCTCCTGCATAAGCATCTGGCCCTGAGCCTTGTCCCTAGGTTATTGCTGAGTTTGATGGAACAAGGAGTAAATTACAGAATGCATCTATGAGCGCTGGCCACCAGCTTCTGCATCTTGCTGCCTGGGTTATGCGCGGCCCAGTCAGGGCACCTCCGTCATTCCCCAGGACTGGCCTCTGTCAGTTCCCAACCCTTTGTTGAGCAGGGGAGCTGGCCACAGGTGTGGTGCTGAATCCAGGCCGTTCACTCCAGGATGGGATGCTGGGTGCAGAGGGAGCTGTCAGTTGGAGATGGGCGGTGAGTGCCTCAGGTTCTCAGGGAGGATGCGTGCTTCCAGTCCCACCCAGTTTCCAAGGTCAGGGCTGTTCGGTGCAGGAAGCCACAGCTGCAGTGCAGACAGTGAAGGAGTGGTTGTGTGGGATCAGTGTGGGATCATTGCGGCTCTGCCTTCCCAGCCCTGGGCCTCAGGCCCCACTGCACACGTGGGGCTTGGGGGAAGCCCACCTTCCGTTACCAGTCATTGATGTCATCGCGCGCCTCCTGGATAGGGTAGGGGTGCTGCAAGCAGAGAGAGCCAGATGAGGGATGGGAGGCTCAGCCCCTAAATCCCCAGTCCTCCCTGCTCACACCTGGGGCAACTGGGGGGGAGGGACAGCAGAGAGTACAAAGGAATTGCAAAGGGGTGTGGAAAGACTGCATTGAAAGTTTATCTTGGTGCTGTTGGAGATCTGTGTTTAATATTTTCATAGTATACATTACCATGAACTTTCTGAAGACTTCCCATGGAATTCAATTTTTCTAAAACTATTTATTTGCAAGAGTTACAGGGGGTAGGGAATGGTCGGAAATGGACGGTCCATCTGCTAATTCACTCTCCACATGGCCAGGAGCCAGGAGCTTCATCTGAGCCTCCACTGAAGGCGGCAGGGGCCCAAGCACTTGGGCCATTCTCGGTTGCTTTTCCCAGGGCATTAGCAGGGAACTGGATTAGAAGCAGAGCAGCCAGGACATGAGCTGGCACCCATGTGGTGTGCCAGTATCACGAGCGACAGCTTTGTTCACTGTGCCACAGTGCCAGTGCCTCGTTTTTTTCCCACCGAAACAAGTTTTTCTTCTAATTCTATTTCCCATGGATTCTTTGAAGTACCGCCTACTTAAATTCAAACCCCCAAATGATCTCAACTATGCAATTGGACTAACCTGGTCAGAGGGAAGGAGAATTGTTTTTCTGTGCTGCTTGGATAAAAAAAGAAGAGAGAGAGACTAAGAGAGAGAGAAAGAAGGAAGGAAGGAAGAGAGAGAGAAAAGAGAATGACGGACTTACTGGGGCCCAGAGCTTGACTGGAGCACTCAGGTGAGGCTGTTTCCCGACTCCGTATTTTTATCTTTATGCCCACGACAAGGGGCAGGGCCACTGTTTGGCACACTGCAGGGCTGTCTGGGTTGTGGTGTGTGTAACTTTGGCAATGCGAAGGCCCCCGTTGGAGGAGGAGGTGTAGGGAGGTCCAGGGCAAGGGGTGTGGGTGGGGGGCGGCAAGCCATTCAGAGCCTTGATCCCGCAGATGTGGCATTGCTTTTGACCGGCAGCAGAGGGCAGTGTTGGTGTGCACACGCTGGGAGAAAGCACTGTCAGTAGGCGGTACTCTGTGGTTGTGGCAATGTCTTTGGGGACCCTGGCCTCTGTGGTGTTCAGTCATGTTGCTGGTTGGTTGTTTCCTGGGTGCTTGGCTGTCCTTTCTTGGAAGAAATACAGTGCGGAGCCCTTCAGGGTGGGGGCTGCTGCTTGGACACCTGCCATGGGGTTGGGGGTGCTGGGGCCCAGGAGCAGGCCAGGGTGGCTGTGGTGCCCCTGACTCAGCTGCCCTGGTGAGCCTCCTGCATGGGACAGTTTGGGAACAGCTGCACCTGCTCCTTGGTGGAAGCTGATGGGCCTGGGTGTTGAGATGGGTGTGGCCTGTTGGCGTGCCCCTCCTCCGCCTGCCTCTATCTGTAAATAAGGACCAGTAATCCGAATGCAAGGGCAGTCTGTGGTACAAGAGGCATGATGCCTATGTGAGTGCCCTTCACACTGCATGTGTGGGATGCTCATTTGAAAACCATAGGGTGCAAGAGGTAGCCCTAGCAATTCCACTACCTCCTGGGAAGCAAATCTTGCCTGGTCAGGGAAGGGGAGGACTTGAGGCCACAGGGAAGGGAGAATTGTGTCTTGCCTTATTTTCTGCCACTGACCTAACTGTGTGACTTGGGGCCAGTCACTGCCCCTCCCTGGGCCCCATGTTCCTTCCTC